TATGCCTTGAATCCCAGAATTTTTACTTACTAAATTTTCCGATTATCTTCTTTTTCTTCTGCATAACATTTTCTAGTGTGTTTTTACGACCATTGAGTGGTTCGAAGTTCACCGGAGTTTTTCTACTTGTGAAGAATGGATTCAAAATGTATATTTGTTTCTGATAAAGTTGTTGTAAGCAAGAATGAAATGTATGTTGGAAATGGCTACCTCATAGAGGGCCTTTTCAAACTCAATGTAATGGTTGTTGACAGTATGAATAAAATTTTCAGCTTCTTTTTATTTATTGGAGTCAAATAATTTATGGCATATTTGTTTAGGACATGTCAATTATAAAACCTTGCGAAAGTTAATTGATTTAGAAGTATTTCCTAAATTCGAGTGTAATATATCAAAATGTCAAATATGTATTGAATATAAGTTTGTAAAACATCCTTATAAGTCTGTTGAAAGGAATTCAAATCCTTTAGACTTAATTCATACTGACATTTGTGGTATGAAGTCGACACCATCTCGAGGTGGGAAAAGTATTTTATTACTTTTATTGACGATTGCACTCGATATTGTTATATTTATTTGCTTAATAGTAAGGATGAAGCAATTAAAGCATTTAAGCAATACAAGAATGAAGTGGAGAATCAATTGAATAAAAAGATCAAAATGATTAGAAGTGATAGGGTTGGAAAATATGAATCTCCGTTTGCATAAATATGTTCTGAATATGGAATTATCCATCAAACTACTGCACCTTACACACCTCAATCCAATGGAATTGCGGAAAGGAAAAATCGGACATTAAAGGAAATGATGAATTCTTTATTAATAAGTTTCGAATTACCGCAGAGTTTGTGGGGGGGAGTTATCCTTACAGCTAACCAATTTGTTTTAATTAATATAAGTATCGTGTTTTTATGTTCAAAAAAAAAAGAATACTCAACAGAGTACCCACAGCAAAACACAATCTATTTCATATGAAAAATGGAAAGGAAGAAAACCCAACTTGAAATATTTTAAAGTGAGGGGGCGTCTAGCAAAGGTACAAGTTCCTTTACCTAAAAGGGTCAAAATCGAACCAAAAATTGTAGATTGCGTTTTTATTGGATATGCTTCAAACAGTAAAGCATGTCGGTTTTTGGTTCATAAATCTGATAATCCCGAGATTCATGTTAATACGGTAATGGAATCAGATAATACTGAATTCTTTGAAAGCATCTATCCGTATAAAACTAAATGCGAGTCGTTAAGTGAAAGACCTAAACGACCTTGGGAAGAAGCAAAGGTAAATACTCCAAGTGTAGAAGATCCAAGGAGTAGCAAACGTCAAAGAACATCTACTTCCTTTGGACCAGATTTTGTGACATTCTTGCTTGAAAATGAGCCTCAACTTTTAAACCAGCTATGTCGTCTTCTAATTCAGCATTTTTAAAAGAGGCAACCAATAGTGAGATTCAATCAATTTTGGATAATCATACATGAGAACTAGTTGATCCTCCTCTAGGAAATAAGCCTTTAGGTTCCAAATGGATCTTTAAACGGAAAATGAAATCTGATGGAACTATTGAAAAATATAATACAAGACTTGTTGTCAAAGGTTATAGACAAAAGGAAGGCCTTGATTACTTTGACACTTACTCGCCAGTAACGAGGATAACTTCTATTAGGGTGTTAGTGGCACTAGCGGCCGTGTATGGTCTTGAAATCCATCAAATGGATGTTAAAATAGCTTTCTTAAATGGAGAACTGGAGGAAGAGATTTACATGGAACAAACTGAGGATTTTGTGGTTCCTGGTAAAGAAAAGAAAGTGTGCAAACTTGTTAAGTCGCTTTATGGACTTAAACAAGCACCCAAACAATGGCATGCCAAACTGGCCAAACAATATTGGCAAGTGGGTTTAAAATCAACGAGTGTGATAAATGTGTTTACATTAAAAACACTCCAGGTCATGAAATTATTTTTTATTTATATGTTGATGACATGTTGATAATGAGCAAAAGTATGGTAGATATAAATGCAAATAAGCGCATGTTGGCTAGCAAATTCGACATGAAAGACTTGGGAGTTAGCAACCCGGCCGATATACACCCATAGAAGAAATTGGGCTGTGAGGTAAGTAACAATATTCAACAATCATTTGCTAACATCGTTCCTAGGCCCTACTAAATAAAGGGGGATGTGTTCAGTCCCAAGCATCTTCGTCAATACTCCATCTGCACCCCCGCCGGGGGGTTAAGGGGGAAGATGTCAAAACCTTACCCATAAAAAAGCTGATGTAATTTTAGGAATTAGTATTCACAAGACTCCACAAGGTCTAGCATTATCACAGTCTCACTACATTGAAAAGGTACTTGACAAGTTCAAGTATTTGTATTTCAAAATTGCCAAGACTCCAATTGACGTGAGTTATGCACTTCAAAAGAATGAAGGTGAAAGTGACTCACAACTGGACTATGCAAGAGTATTGGAAAGTTTGATGTATATCATGAATTGTACGCGACCATATATAGCATGTGCTATTAGCAAACTGAGTCGGTTTACAAGTAATCCCAATCAAATACATTGGATGGCAATGAAATGAATATTGGGGTATCTGAAACATACCCATAATTATGCCTTGCATTATAACTAATATCCCTCCGTGATCGAGGGATATAGTGATGCAAATTGGATCACCGGATCAACTGAAGTTAAATCCACGAGTGGATATGTTAATTGGGGGTGGAGCAGTGTCTTGGAAATCATCCAAACAAACGTGCATCGCGCGTTCTACAATGGAATCTGAATTCATAGCTTTAGATAAGGCCAATGAAGAAGCTGAATGGCTCCGAAATTCCTTGGAAGATATTTCATTTTGGCCCAAACCTTTGGCACCTATTTGTATACATTGTGATAGTCAGGCGACAATAGGTAGGGCAGGGAACGTTATGTATAACGGAAAATCTCGTCATATACGACGAAGACACAATATCGTTAGAAACTATTCTCTAGTGTACGTAAAGTCAAGAGATAACGTGTCGGATCCACTTACAAAATACCTATCTAGAGAGGTAGTTGAAAGATCATCAAAGGGAATGGGGTTAAGGCCTAGGACAAGTCATCATGGCGGTAACTCTACCTAGCAGATTGGAGATCCCAAGAGCTAGGTTCAAAGAGATCAAACAAAGTTATGAATGACGGGTCAACATTGTCAAATAACTCAACTCATTCTCGTGATGAAGACAATGTTCAAAAATCGAGGTAAAACACTGAGGCTTTTTGATGAGTCAATAAAGCTTAAAGCTTTTTAATGATTTGCTAATTCTGGCAGGATATTACCAGATAGTGTGTCTATAGGATTACACGCTTAGGAATCACCTACGTGAGTGTGAAGTGTAAGCCGCTTCAAGGGGAATGAAAGTAAATGCCCATTCTCTAAGCACTCATGAAATCAGGCGGTGTTCATGGCTGAAACGAACATAACCGTAAGAACCATAGATGGATAAGGATTGATTGTGTGACTTATGTTGTCTAGGTATACAACAAAGCTCGACGGTTCAAAGATATCAAATCTACCGGTTGATCGAGTATATTCGATATAAATTCACTACGAAAAGTTCAAAAGGAAACCTACTTATCCAGATGTAATTAATTCTTGCATGTAAAACACACACGCGTCCGTGCATTCCTTTATTTTATAGCCATTCCCCATTCATGTGGGGGATTGTTGGATTTTTAAGCATGGTGTAACTTAATTTTAAGCTTGGTATAGCTTAAAGAGGGTGAACGGAAAATGGAGGAAAAATGAAATATTTGAGTTTCCCTCCTTGGCAAAAGGACATTGTCCCATATTGGAGGAAGAAAAGACTTTTGATGGGTATATATACAATTGCTCTTCTTCTAGCTCTTAAAGAGTTAAGAAGAAGGCAAGCTTTGTGCCGTCGTCGTCGCTCGCTCGGGTCGGCTTCGGCTTCGGATTGTGATTCGGACAAAATTCCTTTCAATTACTTTGGATTTGGACAAGATTCCTTTCAATTATTTAATTAATTAACGGAAAATTCAATCCGAAATAACCCATGACCCGCGACGCGAGCCGGTCCGGTCTGTTTTCTTTCCCGGATTATTTTAAATACGTTTTCTGTTTTCCCGCAATATTTCTGTTGAAATATTCCCACCTGTTCCAACAGCTATGGTTATTTCTGAAGGGTTGCAAACCTTTTAAAATATGGTGCCAAGTGGTCTATAACTATACCTTGAATCCCAGAATTTTTACTTACTAAATTTTCTGGTTATCTTCTTCTTCTTTTGCACAATATTTTTCTGTGTGTTTTACGATCATTGAGTGGTTCGAAGTTCACCGGAGTTTTTGGAACCAATACGCTGGTGAGTTAAATCGTTCTATCTTGGGAGGATAATATTCCAACATCTCGGATACTAGAGGTGAATAATTTCCTTTAGGACACATTGTTCATTCAGTGGGCTCGATTTATTGCTATACTGTTTTTCCAGAATTTATTTCGTTAAACTAGTTCTATCAATAACTTTCTGTTTTTGTTTCTATTTCAGAAAGTTTAATGGTTTTATCGTTTATTACAGCAATACCGATTGAATAACAATTATTAGTTTATTTATTTCTTATATTATTATTTTTAAATAAAAATAAATTACGTATTTAAATTTTGAGAAAATAAGCCGTCTTAATTGTTAGTATTTAGATTTAGGAATAATGTTTTATAATTAAATATGTAGTCAGATTTACACATTTTAGTCAAACAATAATAAACATGACATGAGTAACAAACTCTGAATGAAGCAAAAACAAGTCCGACAAGGCAACCATATGTGCATGTGCGCCTCGTGTACTATGAGACATAAACCTAAATCATGAGATTAAGAAAATCCAATTGTCAACAGGTGTAAAGGAACACGACACAAGTGCTTTGACAACTTTTCCGTCCAATAGAGGTGTGTGGTTGGATTTGGCAAATTCTCACTAAACATATCAAATGGCCACTTTCACTATGCTAATAAACGAGTGCGTTCACAGTGGCCATGAAATCATGAATGACGACCCCATTTCTTTCTTTATTCAATCCAAACTTTTCTTGTAACAAGCTCTCCATTATTGTCCTTTTTCTACATGTATAACGCATGAAAAGGTCACTTACTTTTGATTCTTTTTCTTGTTTTTGTTCCCCTCTTAACTCTTAAGTCAAGTATGGACTTCTCTTCTTCTTGCTTCTGCTACTCTCACATCTCACTCAAGGTATGCTCTTTCTTTCTGCTTCTGTATCACACCACTCTATGTTCCCTAATTTTGTTTTCCTAAGCTGTGATATGCCATGGTCAATTGGTGTTTTTGTTGCTTTAGGCTAAAAGTTGGGGTGGTATAATGCTACTTTATACTTCATCCGTTTCAATTTAGATGACGTAGTTTGACTTGGTACGGAGTTTAAGAAAAACAAATCAGACGCAGTTTGACTTGATACGGAGTTTAAGAAAAACAAACCAGACTTTTGAAACTTGTGATTTTAAAAACTTTGTGGAGCCATTGTGTGGTTATAAAAGCTTAAAATGAGTAAAATGAAAAGTTTAAAGTTGAATTATTTCCAAATGATTCATTCTTTTTGGACGGCCTAATAAGGAAATTGTTTCATCTAAATTGAAATAGATGAAAATAGAGGGAGTAGTATTTTGAAATCCCCACGTGGCAGTTAGCATAGCCCAAAAAAATTTAATACCAGAAGGTATATGCAGGGGCAGAGCTGCATGATCTGATGGGGTTCAAATGAATCGGCTTTCTAGGAAAATTATAGCGTGCAAATAAAACGAAAAAATTTCAGGGGATGTATATCTTTGAAGAATGAGGTTTTGCTACTCATTGAACACTAGCAAGTTGGAGGCTACTATGAAATTCTACTGCTCTTTGGGCAGTCATTTCATTTACCAATTAAGAGTTTTTAAATTCATTTCCTGAAATTAACTACTTATTGCAGATGAACTGCAGGGCACCTGCCTTGATGTCCAGGAGAAACCAGCCTACCTCTTATACTTTTCTAGAAAAGAAATCTGACATTGTAAATCAACGAGTAGTGGAATTCGGAACCAAGTTTAGAAGTGGAGCGAATTTTCTGGGAGGATCAAGAGTCATTATTCAACTTAATATTCAAACAACTCTTCCGCAAAGAAAAAGCTCGACGGTGACTGCTTGTAATGATTTACCCACTTCATCCTATTTAATCATTTATTTCTGGTTTTGTGTGTTTGATTATGGCTAACTAGTTTTAAATTTGTGCCTAATAATGTTGTTGCTCCGTTTGTTACTGGTACATTGAGAGTAACCTTCATCCTCATATTGGCATACATTCTTCCTTGATCCTATTGTATGGTTTAGGTCCTGACTAGGGGTGACAAAATGGTTAAAAGAAAACAGTTAACCACCCATATTATCCACTAAAAAATGGGTTGGATAATAAACTTTTTAAAAACGGGTCAAATATGGATAAGAACCATATTATCCATTTAGAAAATGGATAACCAATGGGTCTAACTTTTACATTTGTAAATCGTCAAATTGGGGGTTCCTCAAGTTTGGGAGACTAGGAATTCTCCCATAAGTGATCATATTCAAGAAGCCATGGATAATATGGTTACCCATATTATCAGCCGGTTAACCCGTTTTTTATCCGTATTAAAAATGGGTCGGGTCGGATAATTTATCCGTTTTTTCATTACCCATTTTCGACCTTAACCATATACGACTCGACCCGCCCGTTTGCCACATTGACAACTTTTATGCCATATCATAACCTCCAGAAGGTGTAACATTTTAATCAAGATATTCTGTTCCTCTTCTGTAGGTTTGCCAAGTTCTGAAATTGCTTCTACTGTTTTCACACTGGGGACAGCAGCGGTTCTTCCGTTTTATACCCTCATGGTTGTGGCTCCTAAAGCTGAACTTGTAAGATTTGCAGAGTACTTTCAATCTGAACTCCTTATGCAATTTTCTTTTTCTGCATGCTGGAGATCACACTTGGCAGTCTAATTATGAATTCATCAATATGCTTTTATAAATTAAATGGTTACCAGCTACATCTGTCGGTATTCTAATATATGATTTCCACTTTGTTGCATTGGTTTGATATTTTATTATGAGCTGCTTTTGTCAAAAAATATAACTCATTGCTTCATTTCAAAGTAAAGTTGTAATTGAACATAGTTTCAAATGCAGACCAAAAAAGTGATGAAAAGCAGCATACCCTATATTGGCTTTGGACTTCTGTACGCATATCTATTATACCTCTCTTGGACACCAGATACAATTCAGCTGATGTTTGCTAGTAAATACTGGCTTCCGGAGGTCCGTGCTCAACTGCATAATAATTTGTACTAATTGCCTGCTCAGGGTCTTAACACTTTGTTCCCGTTCAGCTGCCCGGCATAACTAAGATGTTCTCCAACGAGATGACATTAGCTTCTGCATGGATTCACTTGTTGGCCGTAGATCTTTTTGCTGCAAGGTCAGTCTCTTGGCGTGTATCTTTATTATTGCGCTATGCCCGTTTACTTTCTGTTTTGGGAGAAGAGAGGATGCCACTGTTAGACATTATAACTAGAGTTTTTCATTTGAAACAGGCAGGTTTATCATGATGGATTGCAGAATGATATTGAAACCCGCCATTCTGTGTCTCTGTGCTTGCTGTTTTGCCCCGTTGGAATTGTTACTCACTTCATCACTAAAGCTCTAACCAGTAGCCCAGAAAAGAAACAGCATAGGACTCATTAACCAAGGATGTAGGCCTTTATAAATGATCAGCCTGAGTGTGACTATCAGCAAAGTGTAAAGGTTTTCAGCAATGAAACACAACAGTTGAAGCTTGTAATAAAACATTGATATAGCTTGTATTCTTGTAATACAACATTGATATACTGTTGATCCAATTTCGATAAATCTAACTTGTCTCTAAGATGGATGTATGTACAAGATTTCTTCCTTTAGTTCTACTCCAAACTTTTGATTTACTGCATCCTTAACTCTGCCTATGAGCTCAAGCATGTCTTGAGAAGTTGCAGAACCACAATTTATGAAAAAGTTGGCATGCTTGTTTGAGACCATAGCTCCACCAATTTTTAACCCTTTCAATCCAGCTTGTTCAATCAATTCTGCAGCAGAAAAACCCATAGAAATTGGATTTCTAAAAACTGAACCAGCACTTCTTTGCGCCAAAGGTTGTGTCCTCCATCTTCTGCAAAGAAACCATTTTTTTTCTTGAAATTTAACAATTGATAGTGACATGTTTCAATTAAGAACATCACATTATAGACAGTTACCTAGCCAGGTATTCTTGCTGCATTTCTCGTGCAGTTCTGGAGAACTTTAGCCGGAATGTAACTGCAGTAATGGATGCCAAGTCCTTCATTTCTTGAAATGGTGATGACCTATAGCCAAAATTTAGCTCTCTTCTTTTTAGCATCCTAGATTTGCCTTCATTTGTGATGATTTCCACGCTATCAATAGTATCAGCTGTTTCCTTTATATCAACGACAAACAAGCTGCAATCTCAGTATCACCTATTATAACCGAAAGCTGTAACAGGTACAGAAATTGCAGTAACAGTAACGACGTCTCAAGTCCAAACTAGTTAGGTCTACAACAACAACAACAACCCAGTAATAGTGTGTACGCAGACCTTACCCCTACCCTAGGGTAGAGAAGCTGTTTCCAATAGACAAAAACTAGTTAGGTCTGTATACCAATTTTCTATATCCAAGCTCTTTATAGTTATATATCTCTATACGGAATCACTATATCCAAACTAGTTAGATCTCCATATGTATTCTCTATATCCAGGCTCTTTTTGGACCTGTTTCATTTCGATAACACTGACATATTAATCTCTAACCAAGCCAAAAAAGCGCTTGGCAAACGCTAAACCTAATCAACAACTATTAATCCCAACTAGCTGAGCTTATACAACAAATATTAACCCGGGGAGGGGAGACCTTAGGGGTCGTTCGGTAGGGAAATAAGTTATCTCATGATTAATTATCCGGAGATTAGTTATGTCACCCTCTCCATGCATTACAATCGCGGGATAACTAATCCTTAGTTCTTAGAATGATGATTTACCTGGCCATTTGCTCCAGCATTCATGTAAGCAGCTCCACCAACAGTACCAGGAACACCGCCAGCAAATTCAAGCCCTGAAAAACCTTCATTTGCACAAACAAATCCCAAACGATTAAACGGGTACCCACTTCCAACCCGGTATACTCCATCTTCTATCTTCTCCAAGAACTCGATCCGATTGAGAATGACACAACCATCAAAACCCATGTCATCGAACAGGCAATTCGAGCCTTTACCCAATATTATATATCTCATCGATTGCTCATCGCAATACCTGCACTATTTCATTAGGGTAAAGTGTAAACTAATAATGAATGATCAGTCAACTAAGGCTTCATCTCAAACTAAAGTATTCCACTAACAACAACTATTACGCCCAATCCCAAGCAAGCTGAGATCAACAGTATGAATTTTTTTTTTTTATCTAAGTCTGATATAACTAAAACTTAATTACTTACTTATCTATCCCAAAATGACACTTTTCCTTCCCCAAGATTCAAACTAAGCAAACGTAATTATCATTTTAATATCAGGATAACTGCAACTTATAATATTTTTGTGTAATTCCAGGAAATAATTAGTTCTCAATTTAGTTTGACTTCCTAAATTAGTAAAATTGACTCTCAGCAATCAAATGTAAATAGTATTGGAACCTGACAGCAGAAACAAGTTGGGTTTGGTTAAAGACTTGGACGAAGTAATTAGCAGGGCCTCCAATGCCCCATGTGCTGAGATCACTGAGCAGCTTCTTCTTGCGAATAAACGGTAACCGCCTCGAGTTTGGAGCTGTTTCTTGCTTGTTGAAACTGCTGTAAACATGACTACAAGAATGTAGTAACTTTCTTTGTGGGTGTGGGTTTAGAGGGAATTGATAGTTTGAGGGCTTTATTTGCATTGCAAATATTTGGTCTGGCTCTTTCTGATGGGCATTGGCATAAGTAAAGACAAGGGTTAGGTCAGAACCCCTGAATGTTATTTAAAGAGGGATTTATGTATAATCATGTGACATCCAAGGGCCATTTTCATATATACTCATTTTTATTATATCCACATTCCATAAAATTTTGTAAATTGTACCAGCTCCGATCCGACTTCAATGAAACTACATATATCAAATCTGAAGTTCGTCTATCCTTCAAATAGAGCTTCAGAAATTCGAATATGAAGTAGTTCAATCTCTTCAATGCAACTTCGGAAATCAAATTTGAAGTTCTTCTATCTTTCAAATGCAACTTCGAAATTCGAATTGAATGCAATTTCAGATTTTGAATCTTAAGTTCTGAAACATAAACTTGTTCTTCGAATTTCAATAATCCAATACATGATTCAGTGCCCAAATCTACCCAAAATAACCTCAAATTTGAAACATAACTTTCAAATATCATAAAAAAAAAAAAAAATCTCAATCATCAAATTATCGAAAACAACAACAAATTTAAAAAGCCAATTTTGCAACTAAGAAGAAGAAGAAGAAGAAGAAGAAGAAGAAGAAAATCTAAGCACAAGGAAGAAGAAAATAACAGTAAAGAAGAAGAGAATAGTGTATGTATCTAAAGTTATCCAAATATTAGGTATCAATTAAACTTTTAAAAAAAAGTTGGTACAAACTCAATGTGCAGTGCAAAGCTACGTTGTAACGATCCGACTGGTCGTTTTGAGTATTTGCACTTCGCTTGGCAGTTTGAGGGCATGAGAAGTTCTATATGATGTATTATGACTTATGTGAATCGTCGGTTTTGGTTTTTCAATTTTTTCAGAATCAATTGTTGAAGCTTTAAGTTGGCAAAGTTGACCAAGTTTGACTTTTGTGAATTTGATCCCGGAACGGAGTTTTGATGGTTTCGTTAGGTGCGGATGGTGATTTTGGACTCGTGCGTATGCCCAGATTTGCATTTGATATATTTCGGCGCGAGCTTTGGAGATTGAAAGTTCAAAGTTCATTTAAGTTTGATTTGAGGTGTGATTCGTTGTTTCGATATTGTTATGTGTGATTTGAGGCCTCAAGTAGTCTGTGTTATATTATGGGACTTGTTGGTATATTTGGACGGGGTCCCGAGGGCTCGGGTGAGTTTCGGACGAGGTTCGGATCATTTCGCCGCATGTTGCACTTGGCTAAGGCTGCTGGTTCTGGTGTTGCCACATCTGCGGACAATAAGCGACTTCGCAAATACGGGGGTTTCTTCGCAGAAGCGTGAAGGGGAAGCTAGGCGTGAGGATCGCAGGTGCGGGTGCTTGGGCGCATCTGCACGATCGCAGATGCGGTTCAATATGCGCATGAGCGCGATCGTAGAAGCGGGAATCAGATCGCATAAGCGGTGGTTGCTGATTCACGGATTTCTTCGCAGAAATTTGATCCGCAGAAGCGGAGGTCGCAGATGCGACATTGTGACTGCATATGCAGAAACTGCTGGGTAGAAGCTATAAAAATCAAGGTTTTGGTTCTTTTATCATATTTTGAGATTGGGGGCTCGGAGTTAAACGATTTTTGAAGAAATTTTCACCATATGGATTGGGGTAAGTGTTCTCTACTTGGTTTTAATTTTATTTCATGAATCTATCTTTACTTTTGGCAATTGGTTGATGAAATCAAATGCGAAAATTGGGGGTTTTGTCTAAAACTTCTTAAAGCAAATTTTCGAGTTTTGAACACAGATTTGGAATCGGATTTGAGTGAAACCAGTATGGTTGGACTCTAAATTGAATGGGTTGTCGGATTTTGTCAGTTTCATCAAGTCCCGAGGCACGGTCCCAGGTTTGAACTTTTTGGTCGATTTTGGGCTTTTGATTAAGGATTCAACCTTTATATTTAGAATTGCTTCTTAGGCTTTATTTGATGTTTTTGAGTTGCTTTTGGCTAGTTTCGAGTAGTTCGGAGGTCGGTACGCGCGGGATGGCATTCTTGGAAGTATCGTTCGAATTGCTCGACATTGAATTTGGCTTGTTCAAGGTAAGTAATACTTCTAAACTTGGCGTTGAGGGTATGTACCCCGAATTATGTGTTATGTGATTGATGTTGAGGTGATGCGCATGCTAGGTGACAAGCGTGTCGGCGTGTCGGCGTGCATCGAAGTAATTGTGACTTAGTTGATTCCATGGAATTGTGTAGCTACATTATCTGAACATTTTTACTGTACTCTATGTGTTAGAGCACTTGAGCTGAATTTATGCTAGAAATCATGTTTAGGCTATATGCTGGCACTATTAAGTTATTTGTTTAATTGCAGTTATGTACTCAGTCATATTCATCATTACATATTATATCTCAGTCTCTGTTATTATATATTGGCACATCTCATATTATTGATTCGGGCTGCTTAGCATGGGTATTGTGAACCTGAGAGACTTCAAAGATTGGTGACTGAGTGAGGTCGAGGGCTTGATTGTGAGATTATTGATACTATAGCACGTGAATTATCCGTGCAGCACATGAGTTGTCCGTCTGGATCCAGATATTGATACTATAGCACGTGAGTTGTCAATGCAGCACATGAATTGTCCATGCGGATCCAGATATTGATACTATATCATATGAATTGTTCGTGCGTATTATAGCGCTTGGGCTGAAGGAACCCCTCCCCCCCTCCCCCCGGAGTCTACACATCCCCGGTGACCGCAGTTGTTAGCAGTTATTACGTTTGGGCTGGATCTGCCCTGTACAGTAATGAGTGACTGAGCGTGATGAGTGGTATGTGTGAGATAGTGAGATTGAGTACTCTGAGAGCGTGAGTATATGAGTTCATCACTGAGATACATTGCATTTGACGTGCGTACTTGAGCTACATGCTTAGAGATGCATTTTTTTCTGCTACCTTATTTTGGTGACATTCATGATTTCACCTATATATTGACATGTAGGCATAGAGATGTATTTTCCTCATGCTATCTGAAAATGAAATATCTTATTTTTTTGTTGAAAGGTTTTTTTGGAAAAATGCCAGTTTTCAAACTTGCTCATATTTATTCAGGAAATAAGTGATGATCCGAGGATTCTTACTCAGGAAATCCTTGATTTGATTTAGGTAAGGTTTTTTTATTGAATCATCGTGGTTCTAGTATGAATCTAAGGTTTTTTAATCGATTCGTAGGGTCTTAACAATAGAATTCCTATCAATAATAAAGAAAATAAATAATAAAAGCATATTCCACAAAAAACAAATTTTAGAAAGTAATAGGGAAAAAGAGAATTCAAGAGGTCCATAAGTATCAAAATAAAGATAAAGACGACTGCGCCAACTTGATATTTTTGTATTATCGCCACAAAGAAGAGCTTTCGGATTTTCCAGAGAAGATGGGATCAAAACTTAATAAATTTAAAACTTTCTATTCCATATCCGTTGCAACTAGTATTTGGGTGTTTTTGCTTGAGCTGTACGAGATGAAAGTCTAATATCTTTGGGGGTTTTCGGTGAAAGATTTGGGATCTACTGTTATACTTGAAAGGCATGGCAATTTTTTCGTAACTGTGAACAAGCTGAGTTATTTCTTGTACCATCTTTATTATATTGTTATGAACTATTATTGGTTATTGGAGTTAGACTCTGACCCTTGTCCCAGCTCATGACTACTTTCGACCTAAGGTTAGTTTTGTTACTTATTGAGTACATGGGGTCGGTTGTACTCATACTACACTCCTGCGCCTTACGTGCAGATGTTGAATGCTGATGTTGCTGCGAACGGCGAGAGGTGGATCTGAAGATGTACCTACGTTCCAGTCATAGCTGCATCTTGGTCTTGGTAGCTTTAGTATTTCAGACCTGTTCATGTATATTTCAAACAGATGGTGTATTTTATTTCAAACCAGATTTGTAAACTCTAAATCTTAGAAGCTCGTGATTTATACTACCAGTCCTTGGGAATTCTTTATATAATAGTTCAGTTGTATTAACATTTCTTCTCTTAATAAATATCACTTGAACTGGTTTGTCGTTAACTGGCTTACCTAGCGAGTTGTGTTAGGTTCCCTCATAGCTAGTTTGATTTTGAGTCGTGACAAGTTGGTATCAGAGCCCTAGGTTCTATAAGTCATGAGAAAATGTCCAGTAGAGTCTTGCAGTTCGGTATGATGACATCCATACCTATCTTCGAGAGACTACAGGGCATTAGGATAAACTTTCCAACTTTCTTTCCTTATCGTGCGGTATTTATTCAGCTTGAAGCGTAACTCTTTGAATTCATTCCACGCACTCGTATGCGCATATGAGTATTCGGTATCAGCTGTGCATCGACGACTTGTGATTTCATGGATAGGGTGCGAGATGTGATTTCTATGTGTTGATGATGGGCCAATCGGGAGGACTTGAGGCCGGGTTTGGACCGCAACTTAGGCTCGATAGTTTTAGTTGTATGAGCACGTGCTTTTGGACTTCTTTGTCCAGTGGTGTCTCTATGAGTGGTACTAGTGGCTCGGTGAGTGGTTGGATTGCTACATGATGAGTAGGATGTGACTGCAGGATGTGTTCAGATTGTTTGAATGTGATGGGAAGAGTTTGTTTGAGATGTGAAAAGAACTATTGGATGCTCGATTTCTGTGGATGTGTCATATAGTCTTGGTTATGAAGGTTTTTGAGAGATTCTTTCATGTTATTTCATTTGTGGAACGAAGTAGAGTTTTATGTCTTGTTGATGAGATCAAACTCAAGAAGATTAAGTGATTGCATAATAGTTGTGATTGTGGAAGGATATAGAGAGATGCCAATCTGAGGCTAAGCAGGTGGATTATAACCTGCAGGGTCATCTACGGATGTGTGATACTTATGATGTTGTGTGGAGGGTTTCTTCCTACCAGTGGGTTATATGTGTTGCGATTTGAATTTGGATTAGTTGAGAAAGTTGACCTGACTGTCACGAGGATGTATGCAGGCTTAGCGGATGGTTTGAAGTATTTTTGTGGGTTTTATTGCAGGAGCTTGTGAAGGATTTTGTTGAATCTCACAGCGGTATTATGTCAGTAA